GTATCGCCACTTTAGGGCGTGGTCAACTTGGCAAACTGGAGACATTGTGCCAGATCGATCAAATCAGAACCAGTAGAGAGTCTTCAAGGCATTACTATCTCCTCCATAGCCTCGGGGGGTTGGCACTGTGTCGGTAATTATATATTTTTAATTTTTAATTTTTTGTTATTATTTGTGTGGGTGGGCTGTGGCTGTGGGTGTATGTTATCTTTGATGACGATAATGTATGCATATTTTTCTCATATATAAATACTTAATTAATTGTTGCCTTTAATGGTTTGAGTTTAATCCTGAAATTAGTGTGTTAAGAAATATACTGTATGGTATCTTGAGTAAATTAATAACATCATGTTTCTGGAAATAGAGGATCATCCGTAAAATTTTAATAATCTTCTTTTACCAATTTAAATTTCCTTTAGGCCTTCCTTAGCACATAGTACAGTATTGTTACCTCAAATCTTAGGGAAAGGAATTTTGGATCTGTGGAGGTAGAGTATAGAGTTATGTTTGGGGAATGAGCTCTTGCATCAAAGAAATGCAGAATTTTCAACACTGAATTTTAGCTTGTGATATTCTAATGTAATTTCAAGTCTCTGTTTTTACTTTCTCGTTTCTTTTTTTCTTCTCCCTCCTTTTGTCTCTTTCCTCTCTCTTCTTCCTCTTTATCTTGGTTGTTTCTCTCTTCTTCCCCCTTTTGTCTTTCTCATCTCATCTCTTTTCTTATTCTCTATTGTTTTATCTTATTTCCTCTCTTCTTCCCCGTTTTAACTAGCTTATTTCCTTTTTCTTCTTCCTCTTTTGTCTCTCATTTCCTCTCTCCTTCCTTCTGTCATTCTCTTTGCCTTTCTTTTCTTCTTCCCTTTTTTGTCATTCTCATTTCTTCTCCCTTCATCTTTCTCATTTCCTTTTTCTTTATACTCCCCCTTTTGTCTTCCTCATATCCTCTCTCTTACTTCTTTTTCTCTTCAACAGCTTTGAGCACGAGTGGTGACGCATACACGTGGGGCTGGAATGAAAGCGGCCAGTTGGGCTTCCCAGCCAAGGCAGATCAGGAGGCATCGATTTTGGGAACATTTAGCCACAGATGCCGATGTCCCGAACCAGTTCATATGACAGACACAATACACAGTGACAGCAAGGTGGAAGAAATTAGGACCAATGAATGGAGTGGCAATGATCATAAAGCATCTCTCGAAGGAACAGGAGATTGCAGAACTGATCCGAGAATCAACAAGGGCCGGGCAAAGGATGTTGTGAATGTACAGACCTCCCCCAGGCTGTTGGACTTCTGGAATGAAGATATGGCAATCATAGATGTCAAAAGTGGAGATAGGCACACATTATATCAGCTTGGTAAGATTACACTATTACCATATACACTTAGAGTTCATATGAATGTTATAGGCATATTTTCTGTAACTAAAGCATCATTTTTTTTTTTTTTTTTTTTTTTTTTAACAGTATAGAGCCAAAAAAATTTTTTACAGTGTCAAAATTGTTAATGATTCATGAGCCATATTCCAATTCAGTCTTGTTATTCTCTTAGTTTTAAGGCATATGCAAAATAATATGGTATGTATTAATCTCCTTTTTCAAACATTTGCAGAGGATGGGAGTGTATGGTCCACTGGCATGAACAAGTTAAGTGCTTTGCCACTTAAGGTTTTCATTAAGTTATATCCTTTGTCTTCACAGTTGAAAGGTTAATGGTTTAAAAGCAAAATAAATGTGTTAGATTTAGTGCTATAAGGTCATATAGCAGTATAGGAAGGTACAATAAAGGGTGGTTAAAGGTGATAGTTGTTATGCATCAACTCTCTAGAAGAGTATTGAAAGATTAATCAAGTTCAAGTAAATGATTTTATATTACTGATATACATATATAGATTTATACTTTTGGCCGAGGTCAGATATTACTTTATATCATAACCCTAGATATTTCAATATGCATTTCTTTTAGTTCTATCACTGGATAATTCCTTAAACATGAAATGCCATACAAATGTAATTTTTATTTATTTATTCATGTTTTTAGGTACGGCCAGCTTGGTTTGGGCGACACAGCCGAGAGGAATGAACCTTGCCTGGTACCCGTCACAGGCGTCAGAACAGTGTTTGCTGGGGGATGGATGTCAGTGTTTATGGCAACAGACACTAGTGGGAGATGACATGTGGTTTGCTGTTGCTGTGATGCACTCTAACGTGGCACATCTGTGTGTATATATATTAATTTAATGAATTACAATCTAATCATCATCGCTATTCATCTTTCTCATCATATATTTCATCTTATCTATTTGTATCTGCAGTACAGTTATCATGATCACTTGGTACAGCGACATTTTCCCTGATAATGTTAATCACAATTTCAATTCTGATGCATCTTGCAACGTTTTGAAGGAACTATCAGGTATTATTAGTATGTATGATAATTAGGAAATTATAAGGTAAGACTTGTACTGGTTCTTGGTCGTTTTATGTTAATGAATCAGTAACTGACAAGAACAATAGCATCTTCTGAATGTGGAGATAACCACTCTTGCTTCAAGACATCACTTGCGTTCTCATTACCAGCATCTTGTTGGTTTTAAATTAACAGATATTAAATAAATACTTAGGAAGTGTGCCTGTACCCCTGTAGAAGAATGTGTTCTTGGTCGGAGCGAATTTGTGAGAATCTATAGTGGAAAATCAGCATTTGCAACAGCGTTGGAGGAATGCAGGGTGGCCGAACGCAGGGCAGTTGGCATATCTTGGGCGGGACAGAAGATCGAAATATCAACAGCTAACAAAATTATAAGAAAAATTCTCAGAGCCTAATAGTACTTTTGCTACGAGTATTCATGTTAATAATGGTAGCAACAATAACATCAAAACAACAACAATAATAAGACAGACACCCCTTCCAATTAAAAGATTTAAAGATTTCAAAGTAACTGTAAGGTGGCATCTAATGCTCTTCGGGATGAAGATTTGCGCCGATGAGAAGAGATTCCGTGAACTGTAATTGATTTGTATTGGTAAGGCAATTCGAAAATGGGTAATGGTGGTAATAATTAATAATGACTATCGTTGTTATTGCTATGACCTTTGTTGATGTTATTATCACCCATGTTATTATTAACAGTTGTTTTGATGTAATAGCTTCCAATTTTTTATGCATGTAGCCCCTTTTTCAAATCTACGATACGCTGTTTTATTTATAACATCAGTAAAAGATGGGGAGAGAGTGAAAGAGCCAGAGAGAGATAGAAGGGGGGGATTGAAAATTGGAAAGAAAAAGAAATGTAGAGAAAGTGAGGGACTGAATAGAAACAGTCCTAAACACAGATTCATTTTGCTGAAAAGGACAGTGATATTGGACATAAGAGTACACACAGTATCTATTCACACCGGAAACAATAAAATCTAGTCCATATGTTTCTTCTTCAACACTATATCATATTTATCGTATGCAAAGAGGGAGAGGCACATACATTCATTTAAAGAGAGAGAAAGGAGGAGAGTTTAAAAGAGGTAGACATATAAAGACTATTTTTAAATATATATATATATATATATATATATATAGTATGATATGTTATATATATATATATAATATATACTATATATAATATAACCGCTCCTGATATATAGGGCCTAATCCACTATGAGTGTTATGGCCACCCCCCGTGTAGTACCCGGGCGGGTAGTCATATACCGGGGCCTACTAGGGTGCAGTATGGTAGGTAGGTGGGAGCGCTGGCTAGTGAGCGCCTAATTATATATAATATGTAATACGAATATAGTTGTTATTACTTCTATCCCCAAAGTTCAACCTGGTATATATAATCATTGCGTTAACATCACGTATTACTACAAATTATATACATCATTCAATATACTATATCCACTCATATATAATAATATGAATACTATATATGTTATAGTACTATCCACTGTTTATTCAATCACCTCCACCTACTATATACTTCACTATAAACCATATCTCTATATAATTATTCTACTCGCCTATCTAATATATTACACTACATACCTACACTAACCTCATTATACTATATATATTATCTCTTACTACCTCATCAACCACTCACCTATTCTGTATCTACTAACTATACTCTAACTCTTATGTATTAATATATATACTGATACTATACTATCATAGCTTACTCGTATACTATCACCCTATATGATCTGTATATAATATATATACCTGTATATATATCTACCCCTCATACTGTTACCTACTAATACTATACTTATGTATACCTATCACCTATATATGTACCCTATATACTATACTATGCTATATTAATATATATTATGTACTATTATATATCCCCGCTCTCCCATCTATATGTATATCCCGCTATACTATCTTTACCCTGTTACTATATAAATTATATGCCTATACCTATACTCATATATGTATAATATATATATCACCATGTAATATACTACCCCTCTTCATACTCCTGTTATCTATATATCATCCAACTACTGTATACTATATACTATATGTATATCTATCATACCCATACTACCCTCTGTATATTAATATTACTTCACCTATAGCTGTGTCATGTATATCCTAATATAATATTTACGTATAATTCAGTTATATACTACTAGAGGCATAGCTGATTATATTACTCGTCACTATAGTTGGTATAGGAGGTATATATAAGTCATGTGGTGTAGTTAAGTGAGGGTGTTGGTATACGCTAGTAATTAGTAGGGGACGGTGTGGGACCAGTGTTTGTGCGGATCTGTTAAATAGCTCGTAATAGCCGCTCATCATAGCCCTGGCACGGTGCTATGGAGTAAGGGATCTTACCACTATACGTGTATACATAGAGTGAATTAGTGCGCCCCATAGATATATGCTCATATATATTGGTGAGATCATTATTGTATATATCCACATATCCTATACCAAAAGAATGTAAATGAATACAATAGCATAGAATAACATATGATAACACATAAAAACTATATGATCGTGGAAAGTTTGCCTCTATAGTTAAGTGAGTGATATATTGGGATATATAATGCTGTCGTTTATGATCGATACCTTGAGTCGCATGTCCTTCCTACTACATAATCTATGTTACTGGGGCGTTACTTGTGAGAATATATATCATGTTATACTCTCTCTATATACTACTCACTATTATCTTGCTACTAATATTATTTATATACTCTGTATTCATATAACTCATAACTGCCCTATATATTCTACCTTCTACCTATCCTTGGGGGGTCTTTCTCTTTTTTTTCAATATAACCCATAACTTTTCATAAAAAAATACAGATATACTATATCACTAACCTGCTACCTCAACTATACCTACTATGTTATATATATACTCTATATATTTGCTATCATATACTCTCCTTACTTTACCTGTATTACTTTTATCTATTTCTCTTTATATGTATCTATATGTTGCTGTACTTGATCTGTGTACTGTTATCATGTCACTTGTTACTGTCCTGTCTGACATTTTACTTATTATATATTACCTCTTGTATACTATAAGTGTATCTCATCTTAGTCATCTCTGTCTTTTCTTTCTCATTCATG